TTTTATAATTATATTATTTTGAAAATAATTACAATAATGTTGACAATTCAATAAGAAAGAAATTTTGTCGGTGTAATTTCAATGAAAATTAATGTATTTATGCGTAGAAAAAAATAAATATGAATGAGAAATATGCCTGAAGGAAGAAGGCTGGTCGCGTCGGAATTACTTTGAAAAACTTTTTCGCGGAGAGCTAGAAAAATTAATGTTCCAACTGTTGGTGAGCTCGAAAGTTTCATATTAAAATTCATGCAGATTCCAATTAAATTTTCAGCGGCGACGACGACGGAGGACGAGCGTGCAGGACGATTAGCAGCAGGCGACGACACGATCTCGTCCTGCTGCAGATGAGCAGGATTATCATCTGCCGCTGCGAGTAGCAAAAAAAATATAGAATTTCTTTGAGTTTAAATTATTTAGTTTCATTTTCAGTTATGAAAAATAGTTTGATTCATTCCAATTATTGTTTTGTATGTAAGTTTTTAACTTCTATATTGTTGTTAAACAAATCTTTTCTACTTACAGTCAGAAACTCTTCTAAATATTCATTAATTTACTGGTATCTCTGTAGAAGTAAACTGTCTAAAGTTTGAAACTTATTTAATCCTTACTAATACTCTACTGATCAGTTTGATAAGTGGAAATGTCTGTAGATTCAAATTCGACACTTGTCAAATGTCAAATTATTGACATCGTTTCCATGGTGATTGAATTAATTCTGCAGATGATTCAAGTTTGTAACTTGTTTCATTATGTCAAAAGTCATGTTTGCAACTGATAAACTAAAAATAGTCCTGCTGTTGTTTCAATTACATAGATTTACTTGTGTAATATTGACAAACCCGAACATTGTTTCATAATGTCAAAAGTCATGTTTGCAACTGATGAACTTAAGACAGACCTGCTCTTGTTTCAATTACAAAGATTTACTTGTGTAACATTGACAAACCCAAACATTGTTTCATTATGTCAAAAGTCATGTTTGCAACTGATGAACTTAAAATAGTCCTGCTGTTGTCTCAATTACATAGATTTACTTGTGTAACATTGACAAACCCGAAGATTACTTCATAATATCAAAAGTCATGTTTGCAACTGATAAACTTAAGACAGTCCTGCTGTTGTTTCAATTACATAGATTTACTTGTGTAACATTGACAAACCCGAACATTTTTTCATTATGTCAAAAGTCATGTTTGCAACTGATGAACTTAAAATAGTTCTGCTGTTGTCTCAATTACATAGATTTAGTTGTGTAATATTGACAAACCTGAACATTGTTTCATAATGTCAAAAGTCATTTTTGCAACTGATGAACTTAAGACAGTTCTGCTGTTGTCTGAATTACATAGATTTAGTTGTGTAACATTGACAACCCCGAAAATTGTTTCATTATGTCAAAAGTCATGTTTGCAACTGATGAACTTAAGACAGTTTTGCTGTCTCAATTACATAGATTTACTTGTGTAACATTGACAAACCCAAACATTATTTCATTATGTCAAAAGTCATGTTTCCAACTGATGAAGTTAAAATAGTCCTGTTGTTTCAATTACATAAATTTACTTGTATCATATTGACAAACCCGAACATTATTTCATTATGTCAAAAGTCATGTTTGCAACTGATGAATTTAAAATAGCCTTGTTGTCTCAATTACATAGATTTACTTGTGTAATATTGACAAACCTGAACATTTTTTCATTATGTTAAAAGTCATGTTTGCAACCGATGAACTTAAAATAGTTCTGCAATTTCAATTACATAAATTTACTATTTACAATTTAAAATATATATAAGTTGTATCATTAAGTCAGATGTATTTAACTATGATAACTGTAGTTGTTTTATTTTGTGTGATTACCGCAGGAAGGAGGAAATGGAGGAAGGATCGCCGAGAGGTTTCCTTTGGGAATTACCTATTCATAAAGGATCGCAGCCGAAAGGATAAATACAGTTGCACCCTCTTTACTCTACTCCTACTCTGTCTCTATCTCCATTCATACTTCCCATTCTCAAATCTATCCGTCTCTTTCGTTTCGTTTCGTTTGCGCTCCGGGTCTTCCTCGTGCACATATAAAAGGGTTGCGCCTCAATATAGTCCGCATGAATGCAGGACTGGCGGAGCGGACCACTTTATAACACAGATATTAAAACGGGTCATGAATGAGAAATGAAAAAAAAAAGAGAAAATAAAACGTTGAATGAAAATTTAAAAAAAAATAATCGCAGTTTATTATTTATTCATCATACTTAAACATGTATGTAAGGTTTAATACAAAGTTAGGTTAGGTTATGTATAGGTTAGGTTAGCATGCGTCTAGGTTAGGTTTTATTTATATTTAATATGATAAAACAAGGTTAGGTTAGTTATAGGTTAGATTTTATTTAAGAGAAACAAATATCTCATGAATTTAAATGTAATATGAAGTGAGACACGAATTAAAGTTTGGATGATATAAGGACTTTACGATCGATTCACTTTTCGCTGGTATTAAGT